CGAGTGACCAAGTCTTGGATGCCTTGGCGCTGACTGTGGTTTTTGTTATGTCACTGTTTACTTTTTCCAAAAACATTGTATCTTAACTTAGTTCGTAGTAGCAAGTTACGAGTAACTAGTAACGAGTAACGTGGTTGTGAATGTTTTTGGTACTTCAGCTCTAACTATTATTTCTGGAATATCATTGTTTAAAATTTGTATAAGCTATGTTATTAAATTCACTCAGAAAATATGAATCACCCTCAAGATACGATTTGCTAGCTCTATAGTAGCGAGTGACGAGTAACACGTAAAGAGTAACCTGGCTTTGGATGCTCTTGTCCCTTAAGCTCTTATTTTGCTTGTTATTTTGCTTGTCGTTAAATGCACTCCAAAATTTTATTCATAATTATTTCTTCACTTACTTTTTAGTGGCGAGTAAAAAGTACCGATTGATTTACAACCCACTCGCTCGTTTTTGTCCTCACTCGCTACTTGTTTTATGAGCTGTAATTGCAGTTCATATTTGAGCTTCACTCGATTTTGTCAGCATTTGCCAGACTCATACTGACGTTTCACATAAATTTACTCGTTCAAAGCTTACGCTTGACTCATTACTCGCTACTTTGTGCCCTTTGTGGAGCTGCATATCAAAAAAAAAAAGCATGAGTAGGCGCAATTTACAAAACCTTTGTTAAGCAAAATCGTGTCAAAAAATAAGGGAGCTTATGCGGCTGAGAATATGTGTTCCGGATGTTGCTGTTTACAGTTGGCAAAAACAGACGAGCAGGCGTTGCCAGACATGCCCAAATTATAATGTGTGTATGTGTGCATAGTTGATACAATTGATGATTTGTACATAGGGCTGAGCACTGAGGGCTGCAGTTGACTTTGCATAAAGGGCCACGAACCGACCTGAAATACTGACTCGCTGCTCGACAGCGAGTGAGACAGACAGAGAGAGAGAGAGAGAGAGAGAGGGTTAGAGACTTGAGCTTATCTTAAGTCTTGTAAATGGTCGATTATAAGCTGCTGACTCAACGCATATGTGACCCCAGCGCAGAGTGTCGCTGACAGTGGATGACAGTGGTGCCAAAGTGGGTCAGCTTTAACTTCTCCGATTCGTTGCAACAGCAAAGATGTTAACACGTACGCCCTGCGCTAAATATTTTAACAGGATTTGCAAAGTCAGAAGCGTACTACTTAGTAAGTACACACACACACACACACACACACACACATACACACCGCCCCACCGCCCCACCCATACACACATTTGCACTGCATTTAAAAAACATTTGTGGTTTTTATGCTTAATCATCATCAGGTTGATGCCGATGATGATGATATAGCTGATGATGATGATCCCATCGTGTGGATTCTTGGAATTCCCAGCACGCTTGTATATATTAATAAAAATGCATTAGTTCACATTTATTTTGGACATAAAACGTGTTAAAGTAAGCAACAAGCAGGATCCCTCGCCTCCCGGGGGGCAGCTTGTGTCGAGGAGAGAAAAAAACGCAGCAGCAGATATGTAGCGAAGCACCAACAACCACCCAACCACCCAACCACACACCCAAAGCAGAGCCGGGCAGGGCAGGGCAGGGCAGGGCACACGCAACAACGAGCGACAGTGGGCTAAAGTCGCTCTACTCATTTAAAGCTTTCGAGACTTTTACTTTTACAGCGAACATTTGAAAGCAAAATAATGTACATGACAACAGTGGCCCATCCCTCGGCCCAGCGGGGACAGTGTAACTAGTGTCATGTGGGCAGACCCGCCCAGAGCAAACCGCCACCCACCAACCACCACCCACCGCCCACCGCCCACCGTTCACACCACCCACACGACGACCTGTGCACTTTCGCTCTCGCTTGCGCTGCTCGTAAATTTTAGATATTCGCAGCACGTGCAAATTATGTACAATAATAAAAGAAAAAAAATAAAACAGACAGAGAAAGAGAGCAGAAAACAAAGCACAGCGAAAGTGAAAATAGGAATGGGAACAGCAAAAAAAAAAAACTAGAGAAGAAGGTTATCCTCTGCACGCCGAAAAATTAAATACCCTTAGCTTACGATTTTGTGAAAAGAACTGTGCTGCCCGATCTAGAAATGTTGAGAAACATACAAATGTTCCTTATAAAACTAATTCTTAGACCGATTCTTCCTATAGATATATATGATATTGTCATTCGATGTTAAAATGTCGTAAATGTCAAAATATCTTGAAGACAAAGGCAAGTCTTCATGCGAGAACTTAACTTTTGATCGATCCGAGGGCAGCTATAGTTCGATCCGAACCATTGCAATATATGCAAAGTCTTAAGAGAATATTTTTAAAACAATGAACAAGCTTGCAAGCAGAGGCCGAGAGCTGATGAAGTATAAATAGGTACACTATAGCATAGAAGATGTCGCTTTCTATGGCAGAAGCAACATACCTTCCACAAGAGCATCAAAAAAAAATAAGAGGAAGACAACTTGTAGATAGATGTACCACTAGTACGACCTGAACCCAGATGCGGGCCATACAAATCCAAATACCGCTCACAAAACAGGGTCGCAGACGGGCAGGCGGACAGCTTGGCGGCAGGGCAGGGCAGGGCAGGGGGTTGGGTTAGTTGCGGAACTTGTCTGGGCTGTCTGACAAGTACATAAACATGTCTGCGCCTAAAAGTCTGTTGCATTTTATATGCCCCCACCCACCAAAACAAAATATAAAAAACTTTCCGCCCAATATTGATTTATTCAGCAAACATGTTTTAGGCTAGCTTCAGCGAATATTGTGCTTAAAGTATTTGCCATATCGCTGAATCGTTCTTTAATTCAGAGCGTACAATTCGAATCCAACCGAAACGACCCCCTCTTAACTACACCTATGCTTTAGGCATTACTCTTGTCGCGCGCAAATTGGAAAGCTTCAGCTCCAGAGGTAATATTCAATTTGCGAAAAACTGTATTCTGACAAAAAAACTCAACAATTTTATATTTTGCTTTTCTTAAAAGTATCAAACAATTGTCATCTAGGTATTTAGATTTTATATATAATATAGTATATATCATATAAAATTAACTTTCATGATTTCATTGCATATATATTTTTGATGTGTGGGACAAAAATAATAATAAAAATTTTTAAATTTCTTGATTTTTTAAAATATATAAATATTTTTTAAGGGAGAAGAAAATAAAACAAGAATAATTACAAAAAATAAATATATTTATACTATATTTATATAATAACAAATTTCTTGATCTCTAATAATAATAGTTTTAAATGTGTGGCAAAAGAAAGTAAGAGAGAATTCTTAAAAATTCAAAAATTCCAATTTTTGGATGTTTATGCTTTGAAGGTTTTGTTTAAGCATCTTATCGAAGTCAAAGTGCAAATACCAAGACTAACTTTAAATTTTATTAAAGACAATTCTTAAGTCAAGAATATTTGCTTGAGAAAATATAATTTGAAGCTTTAAGACTTTAACATTCACTCGTTGTAATGTTGGCGTTGCCAGATCTCACCGATTTATGTCAGCTTAATCGTTATCGAAGAATGTAGCCTCCAAGACAAACACCCCCATATAAGCTTCATAAGGAGGCTACAAGCTCGCCTCAAAGTCAGCTGTTCCCAGCGGCTAGTTTAAATTTCCGTCCTTTAAGAAAGTACCTTCAAATAAGTTGACAAGTTTTTGAGGGTTTAAGCGCCAGCAGGTAATCATTATGAGTTTTGCGGCATACTGAGTGGAACAAATTGTGTCCCCGAGGTGTTGCATATTATTTAACACCCAGTGAAGTTCACGGTTATCGCTTATCATTAGCAGCTTGGCAACATCAGCAGCAGCATCTTGGGCCACCTTTTTGAGCCCACGCCCAAACACACTCAGATAGAGAGAGGTGAAAGAGACCGAGAACGTGTAAGCGAGAGGGAGGAACACAAGAGACCCACAAGCTGTTGGTCTAAAATTTATAATTGCGCCCCATATTTTGTGTTTCCGTATTTATGTATTTCCGCCCCGTGTTTGTTTCACGTTTCATAACCATAACAAATTATCTCAGGTCATCAATTATGGGCGCGACACGGGCAACTCAAGAATTTGTTCCGTTTTGTACTGTTTTGTTCAGTGTTTTTTTCATTTTCATTTTTGTCTCAGTTTTTTGGTTGTTGAGCAACTTTGCTGATATTTTTATTGCTTTTCATTATGATTTCATGTGGCGTGAGCACGTTCTACATTCCAATTCGTGAAAGAGGGCTGCCGCGGCTGGCTACGGGGGGAGAGGTCGGAGAGCAACTTTTCCGTATTGAGTCAGCGGTGACGCCCATTTGTCTAACTGAGTACTCGAGGCGCTTCACATGGCTCTTGGGTGTTAATAATGTTATCTTTTATTTATGCCGAGTTGCTTTTTGCCCCTACTCCATGCCACCCTCCCGTATTTCACGTACACTGTTTAAACTTTTTCGTTTTGAATGTAATTGCATTTTGTTTACCTTTGTATGCCCTGTACGTACCAAATTAAGCAAACGGAGTGTGTACTTTGGGCGAGTAATTTAAATCGAGTAGCAGGTGACATGTCAAGAGTAGCGTCTGATCTGTTACGAGTGACGAGTAGCGAGTAACGATAGTGGAGTGGCGAGTAACTAGTAACGAATAGCATATTACATCTTATGAGTCACGAGATGCGAATCACAGGTAACAAATGAAGTATAATAACAAACGAGTGATAAGTAACGAGTATCGAGCAATGCGTTGGTATTAACTAACTGTGTACTTACATTCAACATTTGTTTATTTGATATTATTTGAAATCTGAGTAAAGGGTATCTCCAAGTCTAGCATCCCTTTAGTCTGTTCTATTTTAAAATGTCTTCATTGGTGGTATTTATGAAAATGTTTTGAATATGTAAGTACCTTGCGCCATTATGGGACCCAACCCGGCTACCGTATCCCTTCTTCCGATTCAAAAACTTTTCATTTTACAGTAAATAATTCAGTTGTATTTCAATACATCAAGTACATTAAACAAGTTCACTTAGAAAGTAGAAAAAAAATAAATAAATAGGTGCAACCATTGCAATATTAAATAACAGGTGAATGGGCGACAGAAGTTGGTCCCATTTTCAGAAACAGTTCACGTAACTCCTGAGCGAAGTCCACATTAGGGTCTGTAGACGTATGAGCCGCCGCAGTTTTTGTAGCACAAGTAACTGGGGCGAGTGCGCCACTTGCGACAGTAGCGACGGTAACAGTTATTCGGGCTGGGGGTAGGTGGACTTGGCGTGGGTGGTGAGGGGGTAGGAGGTTGTGGTGTGGGTGGGGATGGAGTTGGGGGCGAAGGAGTCGGTGGAGAGGGCGTCGGTGGCGAGGGCGTCGGTGGTGAGGGTGTCGGTGGTGAGGGCGTCGTCACCTGACAGTCATTGCCCACAGTGCCAATAATGTTATTCAAGAGATTCAAATTGGCCAACACATCCAAATTGAGATCCACCAATGTCACAAGCGTATTACGATTGCCCTCAATAATGTTCTCCGGTCCAGCTGTAAGCAAGAAGATTAGCATCACGTTTAAAGAATTGGATATGATCATTGATTTTGTACTCACAGTTCAGCTCGTTGCCGATGCCATTGCAGGCGCCGCTACTGCCCCGGATGGAGTTGGCCAGATCAAGCCTGGCCAGCACGGACGCATCCAAATTCACCAGCTTGACAATATTGTTGTCGTCGCCCATAACAATTTGCTTAGGACCTCCTGCAAAGTCAAATTAGTAATGACATTGGACTGGACAAAATTGCATTTGATTCACTTACTGTTAACGGTATTGGATAAATCATTGCCAATACCTCCGCTGCCAGCAGTCACACCGTCCTTATCCCAAATGTCCATGAGGCGGTTGCCTTGCTGATCAACCACCTGAACGACATCATTACGGGCAGCACCACCTCCACTAACACTTCCCACAGCACTGCTGAGCGCGTTTATGGCGAGACCCACAGGAACCGTTGCATCAACTAGGCTGAGAATGCTATTGCCGTTACCCGAGACAATATTTTTCTGACCCGCTGTCAAAATAAAACGTGGTTAAGCCTTGGCATAGCTAAATAATAACAGGTAAATAATCTTACTGCTTATCTGATTGCCACCCATGTTGGCAATGTTTTGGCCTTGAGAGGAGCCAGAGCCAGCTCCAGTAAGGCCACCCAGAAGACCACCAGTAGCACCACCCAAGACACCACCAGAACCACTGGAACTACCAGAAACCATGCCCACTGTGCTTTGTAACAGATTCACACCGAGTCCCACAGGAAGATCGAGATCAACTGCCTTCAAAATGGAATTGTTACTTCCATTGATTGCATTCTTAGGACCCGCTACAAGACAATAATGTAGTCGTATATATCCTTAATTGTGAAAACTTTCTTATTCAGCTTAAAGGTACTTACTTGTTATGGTATTACCACCTTTGTTGGCGATATTTTGAGAGCGAGAGGAACCGGAACCACCACCCAAAAGACCACCGGTAGCACCACCCAAAAGACCACCTGCAACACCACCAGAACCACCAGAACTACCAGAACCTCCAGTTACAGTGCCTAGGGCATTGCTAAGAACATTCACATCGGCTCCCACAGGAACCTGAGCATCAACTAAGCTTGCGATAGTATTTCCGCTACCGTTCACGATATTTCTGGGACCCGCTGTGGAAGAGAAAGGTATTAGCAAATAGTTGAATATTTTTGACGGTAAGCAAACTTACTAGAGATTTCATTGCCGAACCGGTTAGCAGTACTTTGAGAGCGAGAGGAACCGGAACCACCACCCAAAAGACCACCTGCAACACCACCAGAACCACCAGAACTACCAGAACCTCCAGTTACAGTGCCTAGGGCATTGCTAAGAACATTCACATCGGCTCCCACAGGAACCTGAGCATCAACTAAGCTTGCGATAGTATTTCCGCTACCGTTCACGATATTTCTGGGACCCGCTGTGGAAGGGAAAGGTATGAGCAAATAGTTACATATTTTTGTACGCTAAACAAACTTACTAGAGATTTCATTGCCGGACCGGTTAGCAGTATTTTGAGATCGAGAGGAACCGGAACCACCACCCAAAAGACCACCGGTAGCACCACCCAAAAGACCACCGGCAACACCACCAGAACCACCAGAACTGCCAGAACCTCCAGTTACAGTCCCTAGAGCTCCGCTGAGAATATTCACATCGGCTCCCACAGGAACCTGAGCATCAACTAAGCTTGCGATAGTATTTCCGCTACCGTTCACGATATTTCTGGGACCCGCTGTGGAAGAGAAAGGTATTAGCAAATAGTTAAATATTTTTGACGGTAAGCAAACTTACTAGAGATTTCATTGCCGAACCGGTTAGCAGTACTTTGAGAGCGAGAGGAACCGGAACCACCACCCAAAAGACCACCGGTAGCACCACCAGAACTACCAGAATCACCAGAACCTCCAGTTACGGTGCCTAGAGCTCCGCTGAGAACATTCACATCGGCTCCCACAGGAATCTGAGCACCAACTAAGCTTGCGATAGTATTTCCGCTACCGTCCACGATATTTCTGGGACCAGCTGTGGAAGAGAAAGGTATTAGCAAATATTTACATATTTTTGTACGGTAAACAAACTTACTAGAGATTTCATTGCCGAACCGGTTAGCATTATTTTGAGAGCGAGAGGAACCGGAACCACCACCCAAAAGACCACCGGTAGCACCACCCAAAAGACCACCACCAGAACCACCAGAACCCCCAGAACCTCCAGTTACGGTGCCTAGAGCTCCGCTGAGAACATTCACATCGGCTCCCACAGGAACCTGAGCATCAACTAAGCTTGCGATAGTATTTCCGCTACCGTTCACGATATTTCTGGGACCCGCTGTGGAAGAGAAAGGTATTAGCAAATAGTTAAATATTTTTGACGGTAAGCAAACTTACTAGAGATTTCATTGCCGAACCGGTTAGCAGTACTTTGAGAGCGAGAGGAACCGGAACCACCACCCAAAAGACCACCTGCAACACCACCAGAACCACCAGAACTACCAGAACCTCCAGTTACAGTGCCTAGGGCATTGCTAAGAACATTCACATCGGCTCCCACAGGAACCTGAGCATCAACTAAGCTTGCGATAGTATTTCCGCTACCGTTCACGATATTTCTGGGACCCGCTGTGGAAGAGAAAGGTATTAGCAAATAGTTGAATATTTTTGACGGTAAGCAAACTTACTAGAGATTTCATTGCCAAACCGGTTAGCAGTACTTTGAGAGCGAGAGGAACCGGAACCACCACCCAAAAGACCACCTGCAACACCACCAGAACCACCAGAACTACCAGAACCTCCAGTTACAGTGCCTAGGGCATTGCTAAGAACATTTACATCAGCTCCCACAGGAACCTGAGCATCAACTAAGCTTGCGATAGTATTTCCGCTACCGCTCACAACATTTTTGGGACCCACTGTAGAAGAGAAAGGTATTTGCAAATAGTTCTATTATCTTCCTATGATGTTCCCAAACTTACGAGCTATATTATTGCCTAGCTGGTTAGCAATATTTTGAGATCGTGCCATGCCGGCGCCGGAACCACTATTGGAACTGGTACTAGATCCACCACTACCATTGGAGCCTCCAACCACGCCTGTAATACTGTTGAGAGCATTAACACCAACTCCCGCAAGAACGTTCGCATCAACCGCAGAAAGAATAGTGTTGTCGCTACCGGATATCACATTCTTAGGACCCGCTATAAAATGAAAATTATTTTATAAATTGTAAAGAAACTTCCTTAAGCGGTGTTTTAGGCACTTACTTGTTATGGTATTGCCACCTCGGTTGGCGACATTTGTGGGTCCAGCTGGAGGAGAAGCAAGCAATGAATTACATATAAATTGAACTATTATGACTGGTCAGAGGAAACCTACATGCAATGCCATTTCCCAATAGGTTGCCAATAACGGGAAGAGAACCACTGGCACGTTTGGAAGTGGGAGAGCTCTTGCTAACGTCAGCATCCACCAAATTGGCGACTGCATTACCTTGCTCTGCAATTAAATAGGTTTACATGGATTAACGGATCGGCAGCTAATTGGTAGCCACTTACGTATCAGGGCGTTGGGTGAGGTAGGCAGCGAGCGATCCAAGGCCGTCATTAAACCCATAATAATAACCTTTGCCACGCCCATATCCAGTAGACGAACAATCCAGCTCTCAGGTGTAGCCGCACAGAAGCCGCTCTTGTTGCCATTAGCAATAGACGTTAGGCTATCCATAAGGGAAACAATCAGCGTGCTAAAGCCATTGATCTGCAACACGTTGACGCCAGTGCCATCTTTAGGGCCCACTGAAAAGTTAAATAAAGAGTACAATTTAGTGTAGCTGGACCGAATGCATGTCAAGCACTACTCGTTACTCGTTACTTGTCACTCGCTGCGCATTTCATTTCAATTGTGATACTTGCCGATTTCAACATGCCACTCGCTACTGCTACACGGTGAAGGTAACTTGATACTCGCCACTCTTTTGATCTAACTCGCTACTTGTTTAAAACTTATCTCTGGTTGCATTATACTTTCTACTCTTCACATGTCACTCGTTGTTATTCGCTCCACATTGCTTGATATTTATAATTTACAGCTCGTTACTCGCTACAAATCAATCACTACTCGTCACTTGTGGTACTTACTGATTTTAACATTCCCCTCGCTAGTTTTAAAAGACTAAAGATACCTTGGAACTCGTCAATCGCTTCTACTTGTTTCTCGTAGGAGCTCACTCAAAACTTATCTCTGGCTGCACTCGCTACTCGTTACTTCCCACTCGTTATCTGTCACTGGATCCCCGTTGCTTATTGTGTGTCACTTGCAACTTGTCAAACGCTACTCGTTACTCGTCACTCGTCACTTGCTGCTTGATACTTACTTTCAATTAGATTCTGCACAATGTTCTGAGCCTCGACACTGGATGCGCCGCACACCTGCAGAAGCGTGTTCAAAATAGCGCTCAGCTCCGGTACGCTCCTTGCCTGAAGGAAACTAACGATGGAATCGCGATCGCCTTTTATGTTGGCAGATTTGCCAGCCTGCTCGAGGGCCGTGCGCGTGATTCGAGTGCCCTCTATAGCTGTCTCACTCTGTTTAGCTGACGTCGTGCTCTTGATGATCTGCACCACTTGCTTCTGCGAGCAGTCGATATTGTTGAAGGCGCATAGGGCCAGGAAGGATTTGAGACCAAGTGTCAGGCTATTTTTATCAGACGACTTCTTGATATCCTTGATGACGCGTTCGCAGCTGGCATCAGCATTGCTACCAATTAGCACATCAATGATGACATCCATGCCCACCTGTAGCAGCACGGCGCCGCCCTGCCTTTCGCTCGTCTCCATGTCTCGCAGGGACTTTATCGTCGAGTGCTGGGATTCGGTCAGCTTGATGCCACGCGCCTGCATGCTGGCCAGAAGCAGATCGGCCAAATCCTTGGCAGCCAATCGGCCAATATGGCTGCTGCGTCGCGCCTCTGACAATGCTGAAGCCGACGTTAAGCTGCCTGTGGCCGGCTTTGCGTCGTACGGTATGAAGAAGCAGGTGGATAGCAAAAGGAACAGATGAACGCGCCACATGTTGCCGTCGAAGACCTCGTGTCAATTAATTCCAATAACTTGTTTCGGCTCTCCGAGAAATGCACAGATGATCGCTGCTTGAGAGATTGATACTGATGGCTGCTGTGCCAAGCGCTTTTATGGCCATTCGGCGTCTTTGTGCAGATTTTTATCAACCGAACGCGTTTCTTTCACTTCTGCTGATAATGCCGCAGCAACAACCCAAAGATAACCGCGTCGTATGCAACATTGGCATGCCGCAAACGTGCTTACAAATCGCCAAACACCATCAGCGCTGATGTTGACAGCCGACTTTACGCTTTCCTCTTCTTTAACACCCATTCGCATTCTTCTCGCATAATTTGTCATCTGCGGTTTATCGCTGTCGTCCATAGATACTCGACCCGTATCATTCAAATGGATTGTGCCCAGAAAGGAACTGGAAAGGACTGGATCTGCCCTGAGACAGGCTTGTCTAGCTAACTCCTAACTCCTAGCTATATCTTATTCGAAAAACAAACGCTTTATTCCAAGTCGATCCACAAAAATTGATTGCATTTTTGGCTTATACCTAATCGGACTGATATATCGTATAACTACCATTGGAATAACCACCGAAAGCTGAGTTCCTGCGTTAACAACTAAAGTTGGACTGACCTATAAAGTGAAAAAATTGTTGCATTCTAACTAAATGCATTTGCCCAATTACGAGAGCCCAACGCTTTTTTAAACTAATGCGTCAGGTACCTGACATATGTATATGCCTAGGTAATTTTAACTGTTATAGTTGATTTAGTTTCAAACCTTAGTTGTTCCATTATGAAATTGAGAATAGACTATTATTTTAATCATCTATTTATGTTCTTCAGCTTTTTCTATAGATATATGCGCTTGCACATTTAGCAAGGCAAGAAAATTAAAGTATTTAAATTGTTTGCTAATTGTAAGCTAATTACTTTAAGCTGCTCAGGAAAAGGCCAGCGAAGATAATATGAGACCATATTACTATTATTAATTGTTCACTATATCCTTCATAAGTAAAACAAATCTTTAAGCTTAACTTTACAAAATTTAAATGTACTTAAAGATTACTCATTAAAAAATAAAATCATTATGTCTCAAAAGCAGACTTGCGTAAGTGAGGAAACTGGTTCGAATCCAAGGCTAATTTAAGGTCTTAGCCGAAGAATATACTTATGTATATAGCTAGAAAAACATAAACATAGTCTTAATCAGTCACTTTTTCCATTCATTGGGCTGTCTTTTTATCCATTTTTGTACAGGTGTAAGACGCCATCGGCATCAAAAACAGAAGCAGCGAATTAGAGGCTGGCGTCGACACCTGACCCAGATATTGAAGTGGAGGCACAGACAATATTTAATCAGGTGCGGCGGGTCGTGCACGTGCCCTGAGAGCTGTGTGGACAATTTTGGATGGTCCGATTTCCGCATAGAGATATCGGGCATCCGACAGCAAAAATACTCGAGGTTGTATAAAATGCACAAATCGCTGTTCTTTGGCAGCCAGTTAGAATTTTGACTAACAACCCAAGACCCAAACGAAATCCCAGCAGATCCCAAAAATGTCAGCTTTGAGCAGCGATCAACGTTTTGTGGTGCTGATGCTTATCGGACTGGCGAGCGGTGCCTGGCTAGGTGCTGGCACCACAGCACAGACCTTTACGTCGGAGGATCGCGGCGCCATACTGAAATTTATGGATGTGCTGATCAATTTCCTCGATGCCGAGTCGGATAATGACACCAGCACTGAGAGCCCGAACAATGCCACCACAATTGGCGCAGTGGAGAGCACCACTTTGGCCACCAATTTGACAACGGACAGCACAGCGACAGAGGCCACAACAGCGGGCAATTCGACTATTGCCAGCAGCGAGAGCTCTGAGGCAACGAGTGAGAGCACAACGCTGGCAACGAATGAAACTAGCTCAATAGCCACCAGTAGCAGCACCACCAGCAGCAGCACCAGCAGCAGCAGCAGCAGCAGCAGCACCAGCAGCAGCAGCACCGCCCCAGTCAGTGTGGCGCCACGTCGCATTTGCTTTAAGCGTGTTTGCTATAAGTTTGCGGGAGACAAGGGTTATATATATTAATTAGCCTTTTAAAAGCAACGAATAAAATCGTCACTCGTTAGTTTAATTACCTACTCGATAAACGAATGTATTTTTATTAAGCTGGCCTTTTGGGGTATAATTTTTATATGAGGAAGTTAACCGAATAACTCGTTACTTTGACCTCGTCTCGCTAGTTTCAGCTTTAACTATCAACTTTATGTTTATCTGTTCCTGTACTTTTACTCGTTACTTTTACACGAATTCACAATCTGAACTCAATTCGAAAATACTCGTTACTTTTACACGACATCGTAAGCTGTACTCGACCTTGCGTATGTTCTTTGTTTGATAAAGTTTGTTTCTAACTAAATTGATCGGCTAAATTTATAGCTATTTATTTTGCGTAAATGCATATAAACCCTTACTGACGAGTCTCGCTACTTTGGCGATGTCTTCTTGCTTCAGCTCTTTGTATTTAATGTAAATGATTGAAGACATTTTATAGGCAAAGCCAATTTGTAAAACGCTATTAAAACATGCTCCATAATAAAAGGAAAACAAAACGAAAAGTTTGCTGTCAGAAGTTTTTTGTTGCCAATCCCAAAACGAATTATTTCAATTAAAAGTTTTCGGAAAACAGTTCTTAATGCTGTCAACTTGCCACAAATACGAGCTATAATTTTGTGTTTCAACAAACGCACACACACACACACTCACACGCACACACACATAAACACGAACATGTTGACCAACAAACTGACAGATAAAGCCCATTGGCAAAAGCTTTGTGGCTTTTCAATGAGTCGTAAACAAATGAAATTTTATTCGTTAAAACATTTTCTGAATATATTGTGCAAATAGTTGACGCTAACGTTGATGTGGCCCCCCTCAAAGAGAATTCTATGAATACGCTCAAGAGTCAGTCCTCAACTCATGATTAAGTGTGTGTGTGCGTGTGTTATGTTTTCATAAATAGTTTGAATCCACAATGCACAAACAGCTGGAGTAACTCAATAGAAATCGAGCAAGAAAACTTGCAGCGAGTAAGCAACTTGTAACGAGTAGAACTAACGATTAGATTGAGGCAACAGCTTTTTTTTGATTTAAATTAAAATTGGGATAATTATTATGTACCAAGCGAGAATGGGTTGCTAGCGAGTGTCAAATGTTCCAAACGTAGTTATCAAGTTAACGTATTTAAGGAAAAAATTTAATGTTTAAAAAATGAACATCGAGTAAATATTAATGTCCAACTAACGAGCTAGTAAAAATAGGAACTATAATATTGCATTTCTTATTGGAAAATAATTTATAACTTTATAAATATATACAGAAATTCTGGAAATTTGCGCTGATTGCCCCAACTACGTGGGCAGCCAAGACATAATTTCTTTCTTCTGTGTTTCTAAACCGATCTTGATGAAAATATCAACAGTAGATATTATTATACTATAGAATATTTGTGTATTCTTAAAAAGACAATTGCATTTAAATTGAGGCTTAAATTGGTAGCCAATACAAATTGGTGTTTTTACTTGACTAAAAGCTATGTGGTGGTAGCGGGGTGGTGGCGATAGCTATAAAATAAAAGATACTTGATATATATGTACTATTCTAGAAGCAACACGTCAAGTGTGGTGACTCTAGCTCTAAAAACCAAAGAGATTTGCTCAAAAGAACACGATTTCGATATCGATTACTTTGAAACGGGCTAATTTATCGATTATAGGAAGCAAACTCGTACTGCGGGGGCACTAGAAGGACCTACATTCCAAGTCTTTAGCTCTTATAGGTTCTGAGATTCATGCGTTCATACATACGGACGGACAGACGGACGGACGGCCAGACAGACGGACATGGCTACATTGACTCGGCTATTGATGCTGATCAAGAATATATATACTTTATGGGGTCTGAAATGCTTCCTTCTGCCTGTTACATACATTTGCACAAATACATTATACCATGATTCGTACGAGTCGAACATGGTATATAATATAAATATCGGACATTAAATGGCCGAGATATTAAAAAAAAACATCAAAAAGATTGACATCATTCCAGAGTTGGTATTTTGCCAAAAACTTTGATGTAAGCTCAGATATTAGATTCAATAAATTCAATAGAAAGAAGAGAATACGAATACAGAGAGGCATAACATTCCGAAATCAGTCGTTATTTATCCTAAATGTTCAAAAAAATTATCCAGAAAGTTTTGATTCTCGAACCGACCCCGATTTTGAGAAAAAACGTGATGTAACCCCTTGCCATTTTGTTGATTTTTGTCAAAATATCGATTTTCATTTTATTGATGCCAATCGATAGTACTGATTCGTACGAGTCCAAAATGGTATAAAATTCCAAAATCTGACATTATTTGGCCGAGATATTCAAAAAAATCATCAAAAAAGGTTGACTTTACAAACGATTCGTTTTTTGATCAACAACTTTTTTGATACCTTCGATTTTTGAATTGTTTGAATGCAAATTGATAGTAGGGATCCGTAAGAATTTAAAAAGGTATAACATTTAAAAATCAGACGAAATTTACCCGAGATACTCAAAAAAAAAAATCTAAAAAGTTTTGATTTTCGAGCCGACCCCGATTTTGAGAAAAAACGATTTTTATTTTATTGATGCCAATCGATAGTCCTGATCCTTACGAGTCCAAAATGCTATAATATTCCAAAATCTGACATTATTTGGCCGATATATTCGAAAAGATCATCAAAAAAGGTTGACTTTACAAACGATTCGTTTTTTGATCAACAACTTTTTTTAACCCTTCGATTTTTAATTTGTTTGAATGCAAATTGATAGTAGGGTTCCGTAAGAATTTAAAAAGGTATAACATTTAATAATCAGTCAAATTTTCCCCAGGATATTCAAAAAAGTTTTGATTTTCGAGCCGACCCCGATTTTGAGAAAAAACGTGATGTATGCCCTTGCCATTTTGTTGATTTTGGTCAAAATTTCGATTTTCATTTAATTGATGCCAATCGATAGTACTGATCCTTACGAGTCCAAAATGGTATAAAATTCCAAAATCTGACATTATTTGGCCGAGATATTCCAAAAGATCATCAAAAAAGGTTGACTTTGCAAACGATTCGTTTTATGATAAACAACCTTTTTTAACCATCCGATTTTTTATTTGTTTGAATGCAAATTGATAGTAGGGATCCGTAAGAACTTAAAAAGGTATAACATTTAAAAATCAGACGAAATTTACCCGAGATATTCAAAAAAAATAATCAAAGATGTTTTGATTTTCGAGCCGACCCCGATTTTGAGAAAAAACGTGATGTATGCCCTTGCCATTTTGTTGATTTTGGTCAAAATTTCGATTTTCATTTAATTGATGCCAATCGATAGTACTGATCCTTACGAGTCCAAAATGGTATACAATTCCAAAATCTGACATTATACAAATCCAAAATCTGACATTATTTGGCTGAGATATTCCAAAAAATCATCAAAAACGGTTGACTTTACAAACGAATCGTTTTTTGATCAACAACTTTTTTGAACCCTTCGATTTTTAATTTGTTTGAATGCAAATTGATAGTAGGGATCCGTAAGAATTTAAAAAGGTATAACATTTAAAAATCAGACGAGATTTACCCGAGATATTCAAAAAAAATAATCAAAAAAGTTTTGATTTTCGAGCCGACCCCTTTTACCCATTTATAATGGGTGGTAAAAAAGAGATTGCATAATTTGCAAGGAGTAACTTGTTGTTTTAAGGAATATAATCTCGAATTGAGGGGATTGAATTTAAGTAATGAATATGCAATTTAAAACAAGTAAAAATGAGTACTATTAGGATTCAATCGATATCAAACTAACGAGTAGTTAGTATTGTTTGAGCTCTTCTCATTTAAAGAAAAAGCAAGTAAATCATTCGTAACGAGTGTAGAATTTAGAGGAAGTTATGACTTTTGATGAAAGGAAACTTAGCTTTTTGAATACGACTTAAGCTTTCTTATTGGACGGGTTTTGAGTCATGGAACTCATTGGACGTCACGTGCCACGTGTCTGTGCTATTTAATTACTATCAGCTTATTGTTATTACTGCCCCATATGCGTCAACAACTTAACGATGTTATCGCACACAGTGCGTCGGATTAGCCGACCGCCGCGTGAAGTAGTTTAAATTAGTTTCGTTGCATAAACAAGGCATCCGCCACAAGGGAGTGTGGGGCGTGGCGCGTGTAGACGGCTTTAAAAACAAGCACGCGACGAAAGACAACCCCAAACTCAAAAACCAAATCAGCACCCAACCAACAACCCAGCTCCACGGCCACGTGCCAGCTAGAGTGACATCAAATGAAGGCTGCAGCCTGGAATGAGCGTGGGAGTGGGAGGGGGAGCGTGAATGTGGATCAGGGGCTGCGGGATGACATGTTGTTTATTTGCGGTCGAAGGAAGCGCATCAAAATATATCCAATTACAATTTAATTAAGTTGCTTTTAATGCATCGTCTCCCACGCTTGTTAAAAATAAGCCATACAGGCCACACCACTGTCCGTGGCTAAAGTTGAAATATTTAATTATATGTTGCATACTTTTCAGCTGTCCACTTGTGCCACTAGCAACGATCTGTCAGGTATTTTATGTTGCATACCCTGAGACCGCGAACAAAATAGAAGCCGTCTAATTAAGCTGGCACTTTAAAAAACTAATTGGCATAATATATTTATGTAAACACTATTTAAAATTATAGTTTAAATACGAACAAGTAGGAGGGAGCGCCAGGCAAGAAGATGCCATGTATACATGTACATATGTACATATATATGTACATATGTATATATGTACATATGTATATATGTACATATGTATATATGTACATATGTATATATGTATATATGTATATATGTATATATGTATATATGTATATATGTATATATGTATATATGTATATATGTATATATGTATATATGTATATATGTATATATGTATATATGTATATATGTATATATGTATATATGTATATATGTATATATGTATATATGTATATATGTATATATGTATATATGTATATATGTATATAT